AGTCCAAATGAAACTTATTGATTTATATAATTTACAGTTTATCAAGCACAAGAAAGACAACATTAGTGGAAAAAGGAACCAAAGTTAGAAATTAATTAGAGAGTTCCTACCGTCGAAAAAGGGGCAGAATTGATATCTGTGGGTCTTATTAAAACTTTAGTTACCTATTTTTGAAGAAAAATGGTGAACGTGACGAAAAATACGGAGAAAGAAGCGTGGATATGATTCCAGAAAATTTCAAAAATTGCTGTCTTGAAACTATTTGTGAAATTGCATTGTTGAAGCCAGAATTGGTTTGTCATTCCGGAGGATTTAAAGTTCTTATAAATGCAATCTTGGACAAATCCATAGAAATATCATCAAGTTGTCTTCTGGTGATTCTTAAGATATTAGATTATGAAAATTCTAGAAAGTTTGTCAGAAATGGGTTTGACTTGGATTCTTTAATTTCTATTTACTCAAATTTAAGTGACAACGAAGATGATTCCACTACTAAGATCAAGAGGTTTTCCACATTAAAGTTTCAAAAAATTGCTTTTCTAATATCAATGTTGTTGAAGAATTTCAATGGTCTAATGGCTTATTCGATAAATGATTTCACCAGTATCAAAAACCTTCTTATGAATCTACGGAAGAAGAATCCAAAAGCTCGAGAATCCATCTTGGATTTGTTGCTCGATGCTTTGAGGATAAAGAATTTCCCTTGGTTGAAAAGTTCTCCTATTGGTGATTCAATAAAAAAATATAATGCGTTCTTGGGGCATGGCGAAAGTTATGATTTTCAAGTCCACGATGTTCATGATGAGTTTACGAAACATATAGTACAACATCATCAAGGTTTACTTACTTTGATTCTTGTCAAGAATGATATTTTCCAGTATTTATCCATTATAATAGAAGAGAAAGATAACACGTGCTCCACTAAAGCGACAATGTTGTTGACCAATTTGTACAAATTAGCAAGTGATAATCTTCCGTCTGAATTGATTAATCAAAACTCACTCCCAGATTTATCGCTGCATGCGTCATATGAAGTTGTTCATGAGACAAGACACAAATTTGTCCCGACAACGGAGTACAACCAGCACATCAAATCGAGTTTAAAGCAGATCAATATCCAGTCCAAGTATAATGTTGATGATAATGAATTTAAGGCCATGGTTACTAATTCTAAAATATTAGCCATCAAAGAATTTGAAGATTGGAATTGGACTATTTTATTGAATTTAATCCAAGGTCCCTTGACAAATCCAAAACGATTTGATGAAGTTTTAGAAAAAGCTCCTAAATTTTTCAAACGGTTGTTGTCGTTCTATCGTCCATTCAAGTACAGATTCTCCACTATAACCAACTCTAATAAGAACTGTCTTCGATATATCAATTTTGGATGCCAGTTGATTGAGATGTTTTTAAATTTAGAGAATGGGATCAAATACTTGAGTAGTAGTAAATTATTGCCTCAATTATCGGAAATAGTGGCCCAAATAGATCCATATAGTGGTATTGGGTCAAGAGATCCTATTTTGAGTAAGAAAAGACTTGACTCAACAGCATCTACTGGGTATATAAGATTCATTGGTGTGTTGAGTGGACATTGGGCTGGGATTAGAATGCTAGAACAGTGGCAATTTTTCACATTATTGTTAAACATTGTTGGTTCAACTGCTGATTCAGATACAAACAATTTATTCATTTTGACTTTGTTCAAATACGTTGATTTTAGTATTGATTCTCCATTTAGAAATTTGCTCAAAATG